CCAAACTGCTAAGACCGGGAGTGTCATGATTGTTAGGTTTTGTTTTATTTGAATAATTACAGTTACATAGTAACTGTGGTGCAGAGAAACCTGTACAGATTCTGTCGGCGAGTTAATTCAGCCTAGCTACCGATCCCCTATTCATTTGACGGTCTTACTGCTTTCTGAACAGATACTCTCCGAGACATATTTATTGTCGTATTGTTGATGTAGACGGAGTGACCTGTTAAAAAAATTGCAGCGAAATGACACTGTCACAAAAACAAAACCATCGCGAGCGCACGCCGATCGTAACCATACGGTGTTTGCAGTTGTCGGTAGGAAGCCGCATTCAACTCATCGCCTCGGCATCATTGTTGCTTGCTATAACTTTACTAACCAGGAAAGGTCAACAGGTCAGCCCAGGCCATATGCAATGAGATGCACATCATTGTACTCATCTTGACACGGTGAACTCGAAACTATCTTCAAAATTTGCGGAACGATTCTCTGAGCGGAGTTATGGAGGTTTTTCTTTACTGTTTTTCTTCTTCCAGGCGCGCTGGCGCCGAAGCGTTGGCACCTGTAGCGCGACTCACAGCGCTCTTCGCGCAGAATAGCTATCATATTCGTGTTCAGGGGGTCAAATAACCCCCAGAGACGTCACCTTAGCGAAATCTGAGGTTCTGACTCAACTTCGAAAAAATGGGGTATGGATAGTCATGGCTGACTGATAGCCAACAGCTATACGACTAGCATACTGGTGATGACTGGTCTTCGAACTGAAATAACTCTTCAGTCATGTCTTTTCGCAAAGAACAATACCTGGCTTACTTATTCGTGCCGTCTGCATCATTTTCCTGATTACCGGTAGGAATTCCATCCCGAGACCAGTCATCGATGGTAGGTGAGCTCCAAACTGCTGCTAATTACCCATGGAATAACATTTTCCAAGTTAGGTCGAAATATCAGATTCGGCTAGAAACTTGTCCCCAGGGGTAATTTGACCCGCTGAACACGAATATCATGGTATTATATTGCAAAAACCCTTGCGACATGTGCTACGGGGGGGGGACAAGCACAAGCACTCTTTCAGGCCACAATGGGTCTACACTTTCGAAAAAAACTGGTCGCAGTTTCCTTACAGGATAGTGCAGGCGAGCAGAGATGTTAGAAGCTTTGTCGGCCATGTTCTTGGACAAATGCAAAAAGGAACGCCCTGCCGAGAACCGATCCTACGACGTCTCGCCTAGTAAACCCCCTCGCTATCCGTTGCGCTCTACTGCCACGTTTCAAGTGGACTCCATACGTATATGTAAAGACGCTTCCACGTTTCCTCGCGATAGCATGTGAAACAGCCACGCGGGGATAAAACCCTCCATAACTCCGTTCAGAGAGTCGTTCCGCAAATTCTGAAGGTAGATTCGAGTTCACCGTCCCAAGACTCGTACAAGGTGCACCTCATTGGAAATGGCCGGGCTGACCTGTTGACCTTTCCTGGTAAAAGGTCTATTTTCAAGATCACGTGAAAGAACCAGCGAGCTGCTGCGACAACGGAAGGAATTGGAAGACGAGTGTAAACGACTCAACACCCAGGTGTGACAGTAGCCTTCTTTCATGTCGAACTAGAACTGCGAATGAAAATAAAACTGTTCCCCAACAGGTTGAACAAACTAATGCTATGTGGGCAACAAGGTTGCAGACGGCTCGCGATCAGCAAACTCGACTGCAGGAAATAATGAGCCGTTCACCTCGTTTAGCAAGACAAAACCACGTGAGTATGAGTTTATGCTCACTTTCTTGCTCATTAAAGATCTCTGGCCAATTTCCAGGAGAAGAACGCGGTGATGGCTTTGACAAAGCGGTTGGAGGAACTGAAGATGGAATGTTGTCAATTCGAAAAAGAAAAAGCGAGAGCTAAGAGAGAATGTGAGAATACTTTGAGTACAAGGCTTTTCATAGCTGTGAGACCTTCTTTTGAATTGCAGGGAAGCAGAAACTAAGTAAAAAAATCCAATATAAACAATCGGGACTGAGCAGCAAGTCCTACTCCTGGTTTTGTAACATTTCGTAGCCATGTCAACTGTATTCAGGACATGCCTGTGCCAGCTGTACTCAGGATGGGAAGTAAGAGTCCTTCAAGGGGAAAGGAGGGTATACTCCATACTCTCTTCAGTGCTGGACGAGATCTTTTCTCTGAAACTCGTTGTTCCCTTCGAAGGCGAAGAGTTATTTTATTCATCTTGCATCCAACTCAATAATTAGTCATAAAAGTTGGATAATTTTTGTACGGTCTTGATCCTGGTCTCAGTTAAAGTTTTTTTTTCATAGCGGGTATGAAGGTAGGTAGAAGCTGTAGTTAATATCTCGCAATCGGCGATAGGTATCATGAAGTGTGGAATGAGCCTATCAGGGTCGTTTTCTACCTCAACAGACCACTTGGTGTAGAAAACCAGACGTTTATTAGGTTGTCGCATAAGTTCTTATACACGTGTTTGATCCTCTCCTATTTCGTTCGCATGGATGTTGGTATTACGTCATCACGTGTGCGTGACGTGTACATTATACTCTTTCATTACACTAGCTATCACTCACCGAGCTTGCATTTGCAGTACACAATGTCGCACAATTTGCACTGTGACAAAATGTACCTGCGCCACTGCCTGGTTTTGCTTAACGATTCACAAAAGAAGCTTCGCGTTCTCAACTCGATGATCACTGGAGATGAGAAGTGGGTCCTCTACGATAACCCTGTGAGGGAGCAGGAGTGGGTCGACAAAGGAGAACAGCCAGAAGCCACCTCAAAGGCCGACCTTCACACCAAAATGGTTCCCCTGTTCTGTTGGTGGTCCAGAAGAGGCATGGAGTACTGGGAGCTGCTGGAGAAGGGACAGACGATTGACGCTTCCACATACGTGACCCAGCTGCGGAAATTGAAAGATCACGTCGACCGTACTCGTGGAAGGAATGCGGAAATCTACTTCCACCATGACAACGCCCGACCTCACACTGCAAAGGCGACCCAGGCCGAGCTGGAGAAGTACGGATGGCTGATGGTCGCCCACCCTCCCTACAGCCCTGACCTCGCTCCTTCTGACTACTGGCTGTTCAGCCACCTGCAGCGCTCTCTGGACGGAAAAAAGTTCGAAACAAAGGATCAGGTCAGAAAGGCACTCGACGACTTCTTCAAGTCCCAGTCGTTCTGGAAGGATGGAATCGACAAGCTGCCTGAGCGCTGGCGTCGAGTAGTGAATGGTGATGGTGCATACCTCTAATCTCCAGGCTGGTTCTTTTTGAGATATTTACAAAAAAGTCGTGTATAAGAACTTATGCGACAACCTAATCCGCGCCTCCAGGGACCGGCCGATATGGAATGCGACGATATTTAATTGTACATCTTTGCACCAAAACTCCCCAAACTTATATGGGTGACCCCTAGTAACAGCACCCAGTCTCACATTGCTCCAGCAGGGAATTCTGAGAACAGGCCACAATAATGTCTGATGACGAATTTGGTACGAACTCGTTTTTCGAATGTGAAATTCTCTGTTCTGCCCACAAAACAATAACAAGTCCTTCTCTAACATTTCCGTTGTGAAAATACCTCCCAATCACATTTTGTTCGTTGCGGATGATGAGGCGTGTTCACGGCTGCAATTGACGCACCGCCAGCTCGTTCTCCTCGACTTGTTGATACGAGTAAGCGGCTACAGCTGGCGGAAGACGACTAACACAAACTATATGAACAGTCTTGCTGCTTGCCAAAAAAAAGCGAGTCGGCGTCGCGTCAAACGCTGCCGCCTCGTCACGCCTCGTCAGCCGCAGAGAAGAAGCCTCTGTATTCTTCATGCAATAGTGCGGACGCGAAGACTAATTCTCTGTTTTATCCCTTTGGCAAGTCTAGCGTAACTTATGTGAGCACTGTATTTAGGACTTTTAAGAGCCATAAATTAACGCCTTTAGTGGAATTTCAAACTGCAACTCCGCTGCGCATTTTCATGGTCAACTTTGCGAAAATCGCTCTTCGAACTTATGAAATGCAAGAGAAGCTTATCGAAGCAAGGAGAACTAACGAACAGCTGAAGGTAGGGCATTTTCCAAAGGAATCTTCTCTGCGGACATTCTCTTCCAAAATGGCCTCCCAACAGAAACACCCGTGTCCATAGATGTACAGTTTGAATTTCAGCTATAAATATGTACCCTCCTTCGTCCAACTAGAAGAGCATGAGAAAGCTAGTCAATCCACTTGCCAGAGCTTATGACACCGATATCACTTTTGATACCATCAACGTGGATAGATATGAATCTAGAGAGCAGCTTGTTCGAGATTAGTAAAGATAGCGCAACATTGTCTTTTTGGCTGGGAAGTTGAGCAGGTTTGGTCATCTCAAGCTTGGGTAAAACGCATTGCCACAGCGGAGGTTGGGTACCCACTCTTCGTGCACTCTGGAACAATCAGCACCGTAGTGATAGCATTGCACAGCATCCACCTACTGAGGAACGAGGAAGAAAAAAAAGAAACATTTTAAAATTGAGGAGCAAGACCTAATTTTCTGCTCTCGAATTGCTACCAGGTGAACAGCCAGCCTCCATGCGTTCATTTCTGAAGAACTACCGTAACTGCGGACATTGACTACATGAGACTCGTTTTTGCAGAAGGATGAAACAGAAAGACGTGCGAAAGTGGGGGCGTCCGATTACGATGTGTTCGACGTGACTTTTGCTTCACAGGACATAGGATTAAATAAGGTAGTTGGCACAGGTATTCCGTATTTCAACTCATCAAGAGATAGAAAGAGCACCTTACTAGTTTGTTCTGGTTCTTGTTATTGGAATATCTACAAAATGGAGAACATAGTTAGTCACTGATAAAGTATTAAAGGAATTCAAAAAATCACGTTATTGTTAGACGTTATAAAAAACAAGAGAACTCAGACAATGCGTGGTCGTACGAAGCAGATAGCCCATTAGAGCTGGTTTCTATTATGATTATATATTAGTCGTTTCTCATAACGACAGAACCTGATTTTCTTCAATTTCTTCATCACTTGTTTAGTGACTAATTTTCTCCATTCTGTTTGAAGATATACCAGCAACAAGAATCAAAAAAGAACTAGTAAGGTTTTCTTTCTGAACCGCTCTACGCGACAGTACTTTGGTAACTGCATTAGTAGTTTAGCAATGTGAGGGAATGCAGTAGACGAACAGCCACTCCGAATTAATTCTATTAATTGATTTGGTATAGGCTCACTGGCTTCACAGTAGTGGTCTTTTTTTGTTCCCTAAACGTCACTTCCTATTCGTCAATCCAGTCATCTGTACTGGCTTCAATTTTGGCGGATTATGACAATTGACATATATGACTATGGATTAATATCAGACATTATGACAGACTTTGCGGGTATTGGGAAGTCTCCATGTGAATTCGGGGCCTGCCTGTCATTAAGAAGGATATTAGTTTATGATTATGGGTTCCTGATCCTGTTTTCTCAGACTGCTGAATACACTGCCGTGCCTGAGCCGCCGAAGTCATCACTTCACGTTATACCAGAAGCCGCAGAAGAAGAGACGGTCAGTGGTGGCACCCTGAATTCGAGTGAGAGTCTTCACTCCACACCTCCAGCACAACCTCCACCCGCAAGTGAACAAGATGTCATTTTGGCTCGCACAAATGCTGTTAAGAATTACGTGACTCAACAGTCAGAAGCTGTGGCAAGGAAATCTGCTGAGGTGACTTTCTTTGATATAGTCTTGTATTCACATATTGATCCGTCTCCTTTTTTATTAAAAACATACCGTATTTTTTCACGGATTCCAAATGGCTGTCAGTTAGGTGTCGCTTGCGACAGTGCTCTGGCTATATTCCACCTATGTAATCAGTCCGGTGCATACCGCCAACAATGTGTTCTCCCTGAGAGAAAAAAAAAACATTTCGAGGAGACTACGTGGAGAGCCGATAAGTTGAGTATCATGGAACAAGGGTCTGCCAACACGTTATCGCCAAAAACGTACTTCACTATTCGTTTTTCAGGACATGGTTCTTGAAGGCACGCCCCGCGTTCAAGGATATTGATTTGTGCGCCTCAGATGCACCTGCGCCTAATGACTAGATGGCATGACCCAGAAGTGAAGGAAAAAAGCACTACATTACGCCCATAATGCCCCACATAGAACCCTAAGCTGAACCGTGGTTTTAGATACATAAGGCGAGGGACTGCCGTTGTCAGATGAGTACCTCACTGTCATCATTCAAAAGGGAGGAAGTTGGCAGCGGAACAACCACACCATCATGTAGCTGTTAAAAATGAAAGGCGTGCGTCACCTTGGCTAGTGGGTCCAGCCGTGGTTCCGTCGCGAGCGGGTACCCTCGCCTTTTTGAACTTCGAATGTAGTACCTCCTCTGTGCTTGCACGCAGGACTACAGTGCTACATTGTCTAAAGAAGGCGTCTGCGGGACGGGGCGCTGAACGCAGTTCCATAACCGTCAGATTTTAAACTGAATCGCTTGGTCACTGGAAATGAGCTGCATATCTTCGAGCCGTATCAGCTACCTCCCTTGACCATTCATGCTGTGAGCGACAACTTTAGCATCTATTGAAACTGCTTGTTGTATTGATGCTGCCCGTTTGTCTCTTTTGGAAATATCAGTCCCCTCCACACTAGACTTTCGATCCTATCTCACGAGATTATGCCTCGTCCCTGTTATGGCATATCGCATCACTGAACGACCCTTCACTGTAGAGGGTTGTACCGAATGGTTGAGGTCGCATTACAAAGCGCACCTAACTGCAGCCAATATTACTTCGTATCTATTTCCGTATGGAATTACGATCACAGGAAAAGAGCCAGTAGGCGCAAGTGTGACTAAAACCGTTTTGATGAGGAGATCCATTATAAGAGGCAAATCGCAGTATATGCCGTTGCAGTCTGACGACAATGATTCCGGTGAGATGACTCGAGATGAAGACGAGCGTGAATCAGTTTGTAATCGAGAATCACAACAACACCAAGGAGAAGATATCGAGGTGAAATCAACAAGTGTTTGTTTGTTTCCACTTGATGTTGCCAGCTCATTGAAGCTAAGTGAACGATGTCAGGTCACTAGTAATGCTGATGAAGAGTGTGCCCCAACTGCAGCAGATAACGACATGAATGAAACCGTGGAAGAGCATGATGTTGTCATGCAAAACCAGGTAGATTTCCCCGCAAGAGCGATGTATTGAACAAGCTCAGTCTTCAATATACTCCATTTTTTATTGACAATGAGCACTTCTACTCAGCACATTATTCAGGAGGTGGGACCAGGAGACTTCTCAGACGACGATTCTGCCATGGATTCGGGTGCTGCAGACGTTGATCAAAATGTTACTATGGAGGAAGGGGAGGAAGAGGTAAGCGACCAATTTCTGATGAAAAGTTTGATGTCTTTCTCTGTTCGATAGTGGTATGATCTATCGGAACAAATGGCTCATGAGAGCTGGATCACCGTGAACTGATTAGTTTCAGATGTAAAGTGACAGCATGTGTTCAATCTACCTATTTGAGGTATCAAACAGTCGTTTTAGGTAATGGAAGAGGCAGCTACAGACAAGGGACGTGTCCATTCACCAACGACGGAAGGATTTTCGCAACTTCAAAAATCCTGGTGGAAGCCAAAAAAGCGTGTCTTTTTCGCAGCAGTCTCAGAAAAATTCCGTAGATCCATGTAAGCACCGAATAGGGATGTTATGCTTTTTTCCGCTCGTGTTACATCCTATCTTTATCGGAACGTATTCAAGGTTCATCGTCGATGCTGTCAACTAGCACTCTAAATTTACAAAACCCTTCTCCGTCTGTGGATGCAAGTCAAGAAGCTAATGCTTTTCTCGAAACTGTAGGATAAGAGTAACAGCAATGTGAGTATACTGCGGTACTTAGAGATCACTTTCAGCTCCTCAAAGCCCCTCGATCTCCAATTCAAGAAGAAATGCCCTTCAACTTCAATTGTAACAGTGATAATGACGATTTTGATCCAACAGCTGCACTTAATATCAGCACGCACAGCAATGGTGATTTCTACTTTACCTTTTCTACTACTCTATCGATTCAATTCTGGTGGTGAAGAAAGCATGGAAATTCGTGTACATTATAGATCCCGGCGCTGATTTCCTCTCTCTGATGGAATCAGCCAATGAAAAACGAGAGAAACAGCGTAAAAGTTCGAATTCTCCAGGTACAGCAGTTGACACCCTTATTAATCGTTGCCACAATTACCGATCGAATTTCAGCTGGAGATTTCTCCTTCTCGATGTTTGGTTTGGGTAACGATGCTGGAGCTGATGGAGGTGACACATATTTATACAAGCTTTTGCTCTTCTGAGAATACCCGTCTCGAGTTCAGGTTCTGGAGGAGATTTCGCCTTTGATTTCGGCAGCACTTCACACGGTGGAGAAGGCGATGATGATGGGTTTCACTTCAATTTTGGCGAAAATTCTGACAATAGCGGCTCGAACGAAAAATCAGGCGGTGGTTTCAACTTGTTTAATTTCTGACAGTTGGGATGTAACCTTTTTTGATTGTGTTAGTTTCGACTATGCATAACAACTGCTAAGACCTTTTTGCTACTGTTCGTTCTTGTTTTCTTTTTGTTCTTGAGGCTGTTATCCTACATATCTTGCAAAAAAAAGATAGGGCAACGTCATCTACACCTTACAACATTAGAATATAAAAAATAAACTCGAAAACATCTGATATAGTCACACGGACCTAATTTTCATGGGCATCGCGTGCCTTAGAGACCCAGATTATTCGCAGAGGATGTACTATGTATATGGTTGTTGTCTTGTAATTGTTGCTTCTTGTACCATAGTGTTTCTTGTACCAGAGTTTTAGCCAAAGAGATGTTCTTGTTTTTCTGAATGAGATTGAAGTAAATGTTTTTCAAATTTTTGTGTCACAGAGATATATTGTCAATTTGCTCTGTATTTATCGCAAAGGTGAACTGAAGGAACTCACGTGAACGGAATCTGAAAAATATTTTGTTCGAGCACTATTACAAGTTCAGGGTGAGAATGGAAACATGGGATCTTTTGCATCCCAGTTTAGTAGAAATACTTATGTCGGCTAAGGAAAGGATAAGTGGAAGTATATAAATCAAGGAGGGCGAAAGTAATTATGAGTATCTCCATGAACGTTATGAGTGGACTCAATTCAATTCCGCGCCCCAATCGCAATTCAGAGTGCGGTAGCACCAAATCCTCGAAGTGTGAAATTTATTCAGTGCTGTTGCTTCTGCTTCACAAATTTGGAATTGACTGACTCGCGTGTTTATTAAGGAGATTATAAAATCTCGCAAAAGTCTAATAACAGTTGAATTTCTAGGTAAATGGATTGTGATATAGCCTCCTATCATGTGGATTCATTCAATTATCTTGCCGAAGAGGGAGTTCATCTTGCTGCACAATCCGTCCCCGCGGAGAAATTTCGCCTTCCTTCCGGCGAAGCTGTTGAATTCAAATATACTGGCGCTTCGTTAGCCATGCCTACAGTAGAAAGTGTAGTAAGTTCATATGAGCACTTAGCCCTTTGTATTCTGGACTACTGACTTTCACGAGAAATACGTTCACGAGAACATTCGACTCAGCTGCTTTCATTCACGACACCTTCGAGTAACTAAGGAATGCGCGAAGAGCAGTGTGTAAGTACTGACTTGCAAAATCGGCCACAAATACTACACTAGTTCGCTGCGGATGAAGGGGCGTGTGAGGCAGTATGAGTGTGCCGAAATCCGTTCTCTACCAGTTGTTGAAGCGGGTATGCGACAGCAGTTGGTAGAAAACGAGTGATACGAACGACATGTTACAGTCTTGTCACTTGCTCTCTTCAACAACTGGTGAACAAAGAGTTTGTACTGCGCGAAACTCGTCCCGCGTGACACACCCCTTCGTCCGCAGCGGACTGCGTAGAAACAGACCACTTTGCTCCGCTTACATTCGAATTCAGTAGAATAGCAGGGAATTGGAGGAATCCGCTTAAAGTCAAGACGCGATCAATTTTGTCGACTTCACCTTGTGGCTAAATCAGTGCGTATCAAGTCTTTTTGACGGACCCTCCCTATTCGAGGATCCTCCAGTTCAGCACTGGGCACAAATACCTCCGAATTACATATCCTTTTTTCGAGAAACTGTCAAGTTTACCTAGTGCACGGATCCGCCTTTTCTTGATCGCAAACTTCCATCCCGTATGAAAATCGATAGACGTTGAAATCATCAAGCATTGTCCGCGCGTTGCGGAGGATTTTCACCTAGCGGAAGTGATAAGAATTGCTTCTTCATCATTTGTACCATTCATCTACATCAATTTTGATTTTATTTAGCCATCAAAGTATGCCGCCGTTGACCAGCTCCGGATACTTCCTTCAGAATGTCGACAAAGAGGATTGACATATGCTGGGAATTTACGAGTTGGCCTGGAGGTAAGCAACCATTTCGTGCGTAACCTGCATCTATAGAGAGACATGGACATGCTTCTCCATCATATATCTCTGATCTGATAGGTGATGTGCCACCAGCGCTCACAAACATCTTTCCTGTCTCGCTGTTTCGGACAGCGCCGATAGTTCGCAAAGTTCGCGACTAGTATTAGACACTCATTCTAGCAGTTCGGGCGATATTCCACTGTGTAACCGCGCTCATGCCTCCTTTAGCCATTGGACCGTGTTCATATTTTGCGACTCTGACTTTTTTGAATCGTTGTTGAGGGGTCTACGTGCGCAAGTTTCTTTTTGTAACTAACATTTTTTTAAACTCAATATCGCAAGAATCGCAGGTTTTCTGGACACCTGTGGTCAGAACATTAGGATAACAACTGTCTAACAGCCCCAGAATACTTATTATAGATTAAAGTCAATGGTCAAAGAATAGACGTATTGGAAACAGTGATTGGGAGAGTTCCAGTGATGCTCAGATCAACAGTATGTCATTTGAGCAAAATGAACAGAAAGGAATTGTTGAAAGCTGGAGAAGAAGGAACAGAAAAAGGCGGATATTTTATTTGCAAAGGGAGCGAAAAGGTGCATGATTTACCATCTATTTTTTGATCTTTTTTTCACTCATGCTGTCATGTATGTAATGTGTGTTAAGGTGATTCGTTTGCTGATTGCGAATCGGCGTAATTTCCCCATAGCACTGTGCAGGAAAACTTTCCGTGAAAAGGTGAGAGCTTGTCTTGCAGCTTTTTGTTGTTGTCTTGAAGAAGCTAGCAGCTTGATAAATCCCAAAAGGGATACCATCCTGGAGCCATTTGCGCGGTGTTACGAAAATGTATTCACCTAACTGTCACTTATGAAGTGTTTATTAGGTATGTTTTAATTATTTTCGATGTTCATGACAAACTACGAGAGAGCTGTCGCGTTTAGGTGATATTTTCAAGCTTATTATAGCTAATATCGATACAGTGTTGTTATGAGGTCGCAAATGAAAAGTATGTGCCATATTCAGCGTGTTCGACCGGTCCCTTTTTCCTAAAGTGTGTCATACTTCTTCCATATCTTAACAGTCAGAGCAGGGCTAAACACTGCATATTCTAGCAACATGTAAGCAAGAGGTTTTACTTATAATTTGTGATTGAGCTCAAGAGAAGGTGTAATGGCGTGATTGCTTTTAGTGCCTAGACTGTGGGGCGAGAGCTCAGGTAGAACAGCTCAGGCCTATTTCAGATCATCTATGTCTTACCTTGCTTACAAATACGGTCTACGTAGTTTGTCATAGTCATCGAAAGCGAATTCCTCGGTATTCACTGATCCCTTTTGTGTCCAAGCAACATGTGTCTACATTTTCTAAGAGCTCCTGCAGTGCTCTACGCTTTTCAGAGTGATTTTTCTAAAATCTAAAATGTTTCTACAGGGCCTGCTATTCACTGAGTATGGAGTCATGATGCGATGTGTCAAAGACAATCACACTGCCGTGATGATGACAATGCACTACCTTGAATCAGGAACTGTACAGGTCGCTTTGCAAGTGGGTGAAGATTGTAATGCCAAAATTGTAGCTATTAATTGGCATCTTTATATTATTCTTTTGTTAGTATTTAGTATCGTCGAGAAATATTCTACTTACCATTCATTTATATCTTGAAAGCCTTGGTGAATAAAAATGATGCTCTGATTGCTGCTGAACTGAAACGGTATTTTTTCACGTTCGCCTTCCACTGAATGTAAAATTGTTTGGACTTTGAAATTTAGCGGAAGAAAGGACGACGCGTTCTTCACATCGTGTGTCTTGAATATGCTTTCGCAGTGTCAGGAGGAAGGCGTCATGCACCAAGAAGATTCTTTGCGAGCACTCGGAGCGCGCTTTAGAGTTGCAGTTGCCGATCGCATCGCCCCATGGGAAGATAGTGAAGTTAGTCATAATCCTAGTATTTATGCGCAATGATTATTTTTTACTTCTTTAAGGCAGCCGGTCGTTTCATCATTGACTCTTGTGTAGCAGTTCATCTGGATGACTGGGAAGACAAATTCTATCTGCTTGTTTATATGGCACAAAAGCTCTTCGCTCTGATAAAGGTAGATTTGTCACTCATTTTCTAAAACTGCTTGTCCATCTCCCTTGTACTTTGCCCTTACAGAACTATACTTGAAAAATAGCGGCACGCTTTTGATGTTCTGATACAGTTTTGAAACCTTTTTCCTTATGATTCAGCAGTCATTATGCTTATGTTTACTACTCACATATTGGGATGTGAAAAAAGTTCTAGTCAGGGTGCTGCTAAAGAGTAGCTTGCTAAAACTGCGAATAGTGCCACGTTGTTCTTGTTATTTGCGAAGTCTAAATGATGATTTTTCAGGGAGAATGTGCTCCAGAAACGCCGGACAATCCCCAGTTCCAGGTTGGGCATTCATGTAACTTCAGCTCTGATTTTATATATTCACATTCTGCACTAATCGCTAGCTGTGCTTTTCTTTTTCGTTTTTCTTCTATCATCGTGACTGTTTCTTTTTTATTATTTCCCTTATGCTGCGGTAATTCTCCTATTCGCAAGCCGTGTTTTCGCTTTCTTCGCTGTGTTATCGATTCAGTTTCATTTGATCCCGCTGTTTTCTCCTTGTGGTACCGCAGATACAGAGGATGTACCATTTTCGCAGCTCAGTGATAGTTGGGAAAGGCGACACCCGCTCGCGACGAAGGCGATGTCCCGCACACAGCCCAAAGCAACACTCAAAGCTGATACCAACAAGTGAAAACTCGACCCACCACACCCTTTCTTCGCCTTATGCACTTACAAATTGAGGCCAGCATCGGTTCTTTATGACGTTTCGTATGATTTTTTTTCTCGTTCTTTTTTCTTTATTACTGTCATCAGTATTACTTTTTCTTTACTGACCACCCTGTCATTAGTATTGGAGCCGCATAACCCACTATTTTGAATGCGGGGCATGTCCTTGAGCTTCATCTTAGTATTAGAGGTCCCTGCTTCTTTTACTACCCCTATTTTATCAACCAGTTTACTAACAGTTTGCTTGGCTTAATTTGGTTTTAGGAAGCTGCCGTTTCTGGTCACATAATTCTGCTCATCATTCGAGAGCGAATGGAAAATGTTCTTGGCATAGTTCGTCGCAAGTTAGAATATACGGCAAAGCGCAAGAAAGATAGTTTTGCTTTGACATCGTAAGATTTGTGCTTTCATATCTGACCTTAACTTGAACTCCAAAGTTTTTTCTTTTAAAATTACCGTCTAGGAATGAGGTTCTCCGAGCTCTCGGGACTAGCAATCCAGAAATAACAAGAGGTCTTGAGTATTTCCTCGCCACCGGGAACCTGATAACTAAAATTGGATTATCTCTTCAGCAGGTGATTCGGATTGATAACTTTTATCAATCGTATCATAGCTATCAAAACTTGAACACTTCCAAGGTGTTAACATATATTCTCAACGTTTTATATGCTAGGAAACGGGATTTTCTGTAATAGCCGAAAGAATCAATCAACTCCGTTTTGTTTCTCATTTCAGAGCTATTCACAGGTAAGCTCTTCTCTTGAATGTCAGTACCTTTTTGGGAACGATTCTTTTCTAGAGGAGCGTTCTTCACAGAAATGCGAACCACTGATGTGCGGAAGCTGCGTCCAGAAGCGTGGGGCTTCATTTGTCCTGTCCATACTCCGGATGGTGAGTACATCTGTTTTCACTCTACTTATGGGAAATTGGCGATGAAACTTTGTATGTAATCGGTGTTAGATTGAGGAATTAATGTGTACGCTCCACAAGCAAACCTCTTTGCGAGAGGAAAGGTCACGCAGCGGTGATCTCTCCGTTAATTACACTTACCTGGAACCGGAACTGCCCTTTGAGTAAAAACTCGTCCCCAAAGATAGACCTCGAGAACACGAGCCGGAAGATGCTCTGCGATGTGATACTCGTGTTTAAGTGGTCACATTATCTTCGAGGACAAATCAAAGACCAGTTCGGGATTAAATGTGGGTAGTAAGTAACGCCGCAACAAATTCCGTTCTTGTGTGTTTCTTTTATGTTTAGTTTCTGCTTTGGAATTTTAGTTGATTCAGTGCTGAAATCAAGTAAGATGAACACGGCCGTGTTACTGTTAAAATGCTATCGTACAATGGTTTAGGTTCTCCTTGTGGTCTTTTGAATCACGTAACTGCTTCATGTCGAATTGTTACTCATTATTCTGACACGAGAGAACTGCCAGCCTTCATGGCTGATCTAGGAATGATTTCATGTAAATCGATCGCTTTCGCTTCCGATAATGAGAAGGTGAGAGTTTGTCCTCAAAACCAGAAGCCCTTTCAAAAATTAAACTTCTGCATGTTTTTTTTGGAAAGTGAGCGTTTCTAATAGATGTTTTACTTTTTTTGTTTTCGCAAATGGCTATATGTTACAAAGTGTATGCGTGCTCTCCTATGCTCTCCACCAATTGCGTTGTATCTCTGAGAGTCTAGTTTCAGGAACAGTCATCTATCAAAATGTGGAGAGACTGTTCTCTTTCTCCACATATTCCCCATTGCATCTGTATTGCGAACAAGTGTTTGCGTTACACTTCAAGTTATGCATCCTATTTGCAAGCGGGTATTCGACACAAAAAGGGTTGTGCTGCGGCGGTCACAGAGGCAATTTTGAGTTGATAGCCTTTGGAGCTGAAAGGAGTAAGCTTGAAGTCTGTCATTCAGTTCCCTCTTCTTAATGAAATCCTTGGGCCGCACGGACACTTACGGAGCCCTTACGGACATTTTCGACAATGTTTCCTTCAATAAGGTAGGTGTGGGTAGTGGTAGCATGACGAGCAACGGTAACATGGTTTTGCTGGAAAGTTTGAGCTCATACTTACTAAGCTTTTGCTTAGGAAAATGTCTAGATGTATGGTAAGTTGAACTTGACCATTAATGTCTCGTTTCCGTGATGGTATTTCTGCATCATTTTTTCTCAGTGAGCCATCCTTTCTTCAGCATTATCCTGTTCTTCTTGATGGTCGTTTCCTTGGCTATATCCCTGTGAAAAAAGCAGCGGCTATAGAACGACAGCTGCGCTGCGTCAAGACAAATCTCAAGGATTCCAGGGTGCCGTGTGTAGCAGAGGTAATGTTTCGCTAAGGATGTGCTATGTTTTTTTGTAGATCCGGACTCAACTGTAACATTTTTATGTTTTCAATATGCGTATTGCTTCCTTCAGATAGCTCTGGTTCATCGCTCAACAGACATGAAGAATATCCAGACGCAATATCCAGGGTTGTACATTCTTTCTGATCCTGCTCGTTTGATCCGCCCTGTACGGAATCTCATTACTGATTCGGTGGAATTTATTGGTAAGTTTTTCAGAACTGAACTCTTTTCGCCTGTTATATATCTGCTGGATTTGCATCCTGAAGTGTATTTTAGGAACATTTGAGCAAGTCTATTTGTCGATAGTCATTGATCCTTCGGAAGCAGAACCTGGGGTTACTATTCATCAGGAACTACATCCAAGCTGTTTGTTCTCGTTTGCTGGAAACCTCATTCCTTTCCCTGACCATAATCAATCGCCCCGGTACGAATTCAACCATTTCCACGAGTTTTCATTACAGCCTTGATGTCTGAATGTGAATTTGTTAGATAGGAATTTTACTGCTCGTGGCTGAACCTCTGTTCTTATTGTTTCCAAGTATGGTGCGAGCTGAGAATATCAAAAGTTACGGAGAATATGCTGCATTGGTTATGCGGTGGGGGGGGGGGGGGGCTTTCTCTTCATCATGTTTACGACTCATTCCGGTACCACGTCGAGGCTCATCAAAATGACGGAGTTTAAAAGTGTGACTCCATGTGGCGTTTAATATTTTGGTTTTTTTTTTTGCTGCTGATTGCTCGGAGCGTCAGTTTCGAGTGAAAATCCCATCTGACTACCTCGTTCGTGAGAACTAAAAAAACCCACAGTCACTACTATTACTAACTGTTCCCAATTGTGACTCACATTTGCAGGTCAGAATCTTCCTTTTTCAGGAATGTGTACCAATGTCAAATGGGGAAACAAACAATGGGAACCGCAGTACACGCATGGCACACGAGAGCAGATAACAAAATGTACCGGCTTCAGGTTGGATTCGTAGAGATCCTGGATAGTTTTCAGTTTTTCTTCAGTTTATAGACGCTGTAAATGTTGACAGTTTCATGTTTAGTTTCCTCAAAGTCCGCTGCTCAAATTGGAAGCTTATGAACGATATGAAATGGATGAATATCCGCTAGGAACTAACGCCTGTGTCGCTGTTATTTCATACACTGGTGAGTATAACCTTGCGAAGTTCCGCATCTTATATCCAAAAACTGGACATTTCAAGGTTATGACATGGAAGACGCCATGGTTATTAACAAGTCATCTTTCCAACGCGGTTTCGCTCATGGAACAGTGATCAAAGTTGAAAGGTAATATAATTACAAATGCTTATAATTGGCATTGGTTAATTACTTTTTGGGATTGGCTACGTGCTCGACTTAGGTTGGGAATAGTCATGACATTTGAACATTCCCATCCTGCTTCCTTTCCGGCGACCCAGTCTATTGAACCTTTTGACGTTACCATACGTTTTGTGTTCGTGTAGAGCTTGAGTTCAGCAGTACGACCGGCAGCTCAAATTCACTTTGTGTAGCGGGTTCAGATGTCAGTCTCGCTGGTCTAAGGGTTGCCCCAATAGTCAGGTTCGCAGCTATTAATTGCCCTATTCGTTGTGCTAAGCTTAAAATAGACACTTTGGCAGAAGTGGTGAAGTTGAGAGTATGGGACGGTGAGCAAAGGATGGACAAGATGGTGTCGGATCCATCTCTTTACATCGACTTCTTTGTGAAACCAAAGTTCAGGGTGTAAAAAAAATATTAAAATATGATACCGTTAAATAATTCTTCGCTCCTCACGATGCAGAATTGAGCATTTACTCGCGCGCAGCAAGCGGTTAATTTGCGCGACCATTCTTGTATCATCACGATCACGACGGAAACGTTCGCAGCGGGATGGGATCTCACAGAGATAAGGGATCTTCCACGCCTTCATTGTGCTCACATGCGAGCTTGTCTCGTTGTGGGACGGTTACGGTTGTACTGATTGAATGCCCTATACAGTAGTGGGAGGGTGGTCCAATCATACGACTTTCACAGGTACTGGAGTGCAGATTAGGATCATAATATTGTCAGTGGTCTGTCCTTCCTATACTGTCATAGGCCGACAACCCATAATCACTTATTTACTTGACTGAGCGAAAAAAATGCCTTCACGTGTAGAATGATGTTTTAGGATCAATCTGGTCACTCCTAGCGAGAAGAAAACATTGTTCCGAATGGATCCGAAACATCCATACGATACGGTCGGTTGTGACGGTCTTCCCATCCCAGGAAGGCGATATTTTGAAGGTTGGAACGTTTTTCTCAAGGGCATAATGTACGAATAGCTGATAAGTAGACGTCCCCATTTGCAAGAGGGATGCAGGTCTCCAGCTAAATAAGGTATGACGTTCTCTTCGTTCGAAATCGAGTGGAAGTGCGCTAGAAGTTTGTGAAGCAGGTTACCTCCCACGTGAATTCCCACCCACTCCACATCCATCATTTCCTTCTGTTAGACAGGGCAAGTGATAGTGAAGTTTCAATCTTGATAGGGGAGAAATGATACCTCTGTGAGCCTGTCTGGAATAAACACATCCGAGAACGCGCTCTATTGGCAGGTGTGCTTCTACACTGTTCTCAAGTTGGAGGGGTCTTATTTGTTACGTTTTCAACGTTTACTTCTAATCTTTTTGCTGACGGGAGCGTCTCTTCGCACGTTCTGTTTATTGTTCGGATGCCTTTGCCATCATTTTTTTTTCATGAAACACCGAACCTTTGACTTAGGGTCACATCGAATATGTAGATGAATAATATCAGTTTTCCTATGGATAAGATTTCTTACGTGGAAGAAGGTATACTGGAGATAGTCTTTCAAGTAATTGTAAGTTTCAGATGAAGTATACTATGTCACCTACAATCAAGATACCGGGTTACATCAAGCGTACAAATTTCATCATGCTGAGCCTGCTTACTGTGGTATTGTACGCCTTGTCCATCAGGATAATGTTGAAGAAGGCGCAAGGGTAAGTGTAAAGTTGTCATTGCAGTACTGCAGATCCTAGCGCAGATAACCTATATCTGATTTCGTTGCCATCAGTCGGAGTGGTATCAGGAGGGACGGAATACACTGTCTTCTCCTCCAATAGTTTTCGCTTAGTGATCGGTTCAGGAAGAAAACAGCGACCCGAATGGGCGCATTTCGTGCCTCTGCACCACTCCGATTGCGACGTTATCCACTGCATTTGTGAGCGACCCTGACCACGAGAACGATTTCTTGTAGCATGCATTAATTCAATGGCGCATCGAGAGGAATCCGATTATTGGCGATAAATTCGCCTCTAGACATGGTCAGAAAGGAATCAACTCATTTCTGTGGCCAGTGGAGAATCTCCCATTCAGTGAAAGTGGAATGGTTCCTGATATTATATTCAATCCTCACGGTTTCCCCAGTCGTATGACTATCGGTGAGATTTAGTTTCTCGAGCAGCGGTTTTATGAATGCAGCTGCTTCTCTGTTTTGGTCACGTTACCTACTGGCTTTTCAAGTTGGATGGTTCATTACAGGTATGATGATTGAGAGTATGGCAGGGAAGGCAGCTGCCATGCACGGTGATGTTTATGATGCTTCTCCGTTTGTTTTCAAGTAAGTGGTCTTGTTTGTAGGAAAGAGAGCAGTTGTATCCTTCTGAAATTCAGTGAAAAACGAACAGCAATTGACCACTTCGGCGAACTGTTGGCAAAAGCTGGGTATAATTATCATGGGAACGAAACATTCTATTCTGGAGTGGATGGAAGGCAACTTGAGGTGCGTCCATATTACACTTGGTTTGCACGAGGTGTGAGAAAGGGCTTCTTTTCAGGTGCAAATATTTTTCGGAATCGTTTATTACCAGCGACTTCGACACATGATCGCTGATAAATTCCAGGTTCGTGTGTATCTTTCTTTTGTCTTTGTATTTTTCAGGGTTGATGTTCACAGCCAGATCTTTCTCATGAATGACATGAAATTTAAAGATTAACTTGTACTCTCATCTCTGCGGATTCTTGTTTTTGCCGCATGTAGAGAAAATGGGTCCGGCAGTAACAGAATGGAAATGAGTCCGCAGTGGTGCTCTTTTCCTTGGTAAAAGTGCACGGGAACGGGGAGGGTAGAGATGCCGGGTGCTGTCTCCATACACTGTGTTGCACCCCAGCCATACTACAATCACAACCAAACGCGCTACGCGCTGTCTGCGAACTTTCTTTTCTGGTTGTTCTCTTTCGCTACAGGACCTTGGCATCGGCACAAGCGCTGCATCTCAAGCGAATGAAGGGCCGTATTCGGGTACCACTACCCTACAGCACTTCTGAGCGGAGAACGTGGCTTCGTTACTGCAGGTGGGGACCCATTCGCTTCGCGCATAGCAATGACCGTTCTCGGAGGTGAGTTTACAGTCTGTCTCTTATAAGTTCTCCACGACAATCCACGTGGCTGATTTCGTTGTTCTCACTAGGTCATGAGCGACCACTTCCTCAGTCGCTGCTTTTTTACGCTTTCACATTCTAGTAAATCCATTCTCCTTTCGAGAAAGGCGCTAGAAAAATGGGATTGTGTGTTTTGTTTTAACCATATGCACTCCACGTTTTCGATGTTTAATACACTCTAATTCGCTGCGGACGGTTGGGCGTGTCAGGCAGTATGAGTGTGTCACCCCGTCAAAGCCGTTCTCTGCCTTCTTGTTGAAGCGCGCATGCGACCTATACTGTCATAGGCCGACAACCCGTAATCACTTATTTACTTGACTGAGCGAAAAAAATGCCTTCACGTGTAGAATGATGTTTTAGGATCAATCTGGTCACTCCTAGCGAGAAGAAAACATTGTTCCGAATGGATCCGAAACATCCATACGATACGGTCGGTTGTGACGGTCTTCCCATCCCAGGAAGGCGATATTTTGAAGGTTGGAACGTTTTTCTCAAGGGCATAATGTACGAATAGCTGATAAGTAGACGTCCCCATTTGCAAGAGGGATGCAGGTCTCCAGCTAAATAAGGTATGACGTTCTCTTCGTTCGAAATCGAGTGGAAGTGCGCTAGAAGTTTGTGAAGCAGGTTACCTCCCACGTGAATTCCCACCCACTCCACAGCCATCATTTCCTTCTATTAGACAGGGCAAGGAATAGTGTAAGTTTCAATCTTGATAGGGGAGAAATGATACCTCTGTGAGCCTGTCTGGAATAAACACATCCGAGAACGCGCTCTTTTCGCGGTGTGCTTCTACACTGTTCTCAATTGGAGGGGTCTTATTTGTTACGTTTTCAACGTTTACTTCTTATATTTTTGCTGACGGGAGCGTCTCTTCGCACATTCCGTTTATTGTTCGGATGCCTTTGCCATCATTTTCTTTCATGAAACACTGAACCATTGACTTAGGGTCAAATCGTACATGTAGATTAATACTACCAGTTTTCCTATGAATAAGATTTCTTACGTGGAAGAAGGAATACTGGAGATAGTCTTTCAAGTAATTGTAAGTTTCAGATGAAGTATACTATGTCACCTACAATCAAGATACCGGGTTACATCAAGCGTACAAATTTCATCATGCTGAGCCTGCTTACTGTGGTATTGTACGCCTTGTCCATCAGGATAATGTTGAAGAAGGCGCAAGGGTAAGTGTAAAGTTGTCATTGCAGTACTGCAGATCATAATGCAGATAACATATATTTGATATCGTTGCCATCAGTTGGAGTGGTATCAGGAGGGACGGAATACACTCTTCTCCTCCAATCGTTTTCGATTAGTGATCGGTTCAGGAAGAAAACAACGAACGGTGGAAACGCCCCGAACGGGCGCATTTCGTGCCTCTGCACCACTCCGATTGCGACGTTATCCACTGCATTTGTGAGCGACCCTGACCACGAGAACGATTTCTTGTAGCATGCATTAATTCAATGGCGCATCGAGAGGAATCCGATTATTGGCGATAAATTCGCCTCTAGACATGGTCAGAAAGGAATCAACTCATTTCTGTGGCCAGTGGAGAATCTCCCATTCAGTGAAAGTGGAATGGTTCCTGATATTATATTCAATCCTCACGGTTTCCCCAGTCGTATGACTATCGGTGAGATTTAGTTTCTCGAGCAACGGTTTCATGAAATGCAGCTGCTTCTCTGTTTTGGTCACGTTACCTACTGGCTTTCACACATTGAAGTTGGATGGTTCATTACAGGTATGATGATTGAGAGCATGGCAGGCAAGGCTGCGGCCATGCACGGTGATGTGTATGATGCTTCTCCGTTTGTTTTCAAGTAAGTGGTCTTGTTTGTAGGAGTGAGAGCAGTTGTATCCTTCTGAAATTCAGTGAAAAACGAACAGCAATTGACCACTTCGGCGAACTGTTGGCAAAAGCTGGGTATAATTATCATGGGAACGAAACATTCTATTCTGGAGTGGATGGAAGGCAACTTGAGGTGCGTCCATATTACACTTGGTTTGCACGAGGTGTGAGAAAGGGCTTCTTTTCAGGTGCAAATATTTTTCGGAATCGTTTATTACCAGCGACTTCGACACATGATTGCTGATAAATTCCAGGTTCGTATGACATGAAACTTCAAGGCAGTTGGCACGATGATTGGTGCTCGGCCTAAAATGCTAGTAGGGAGCTATATAGTGGGGAAATGGCGAAAGAACGGAGTGAAACGGTCAAAATCCTGCGAAGAAAAAGCCTCCGTTCTCAGTGACTTGAAATCGATTTCGGACGAGTTTCCCGTAGGCATCTTACCAATCACCGCTACCGAAGATACGGCTGCATATGTGTACCCATATATGCATGCAGCATCACGGCCGCTTCATACCAATCCCTTCGCTTCATAATTTGCTTAGCAAATGAATGAATACGAGCGTCAGGAACGGTCGTCCATTTGTGGGCGGGCGGGCGTGGCGGGCGTTTGGGTCGTAATGTTGTGGCTTGATAGGGCCCTTATAAGGGCACCTTCCTTGGAAAAGGCATTATGCAGCGCCTGCTCAGGGTCGCGGAATTCCGTCCTGCCAGGCGTATTAATCCTACTCGTCTGGGGATTTATCGTGCCAACTGCCTTTAAAGATTAATTGTACTCTCATCTCTGCGGATTCTTGTCCTTGCCGCATGTAGAGGCAATGGTCCGGCAATAACAGAATGGAAATGAGTCCGCCCCGGTAAAAGGTGCACGGGATCGGGCTGGAGGGTTGAGATAGCCAGGTGCCATTTCTATACACTGTTGCACCCCAGCCATACTATAATCACAACCAAACGCGCTACGCGCTGTCTGGTTGTGATCTTTCTGGTTTCTGGTTGTTCTCTCGCTACGGAACCTTGGCATCGGCGCAAGCGCTGCACCTCAAGCGAGTGAAGGGCTTCGGATACCACTATCCTACAGCACTTCTGAACGGTGAACGTGGTTCGTTACTGCAGGTGGGGACCCATTCGCTTCGCGCATAGCAATGACCGTTCTCGGAGGTGAGTTTACAGTCTCTCTCTTATAAGTTCTCCACGACAATCCACGTGGCTGATTTCGTTGTTCTCACTAGGTCATGAGCGACCACTTCCTTTGTCGCTGCTTTTTTTACGCTTTCACATTCTAGTAAATTCACTCTTCTTTCGAGAAGGGCGGTAGAAAAATGGGATTGTATGTTTCTTTTAACCATATGCACTCCACGTTTTCGATGTTTAATACACTCTAGTTCGCTGCGGACGGTTGGGCGTGTCAGGCAGTATGAGTGTGTCACCCGTCAAAGCCGTTCTCTGCCTTCTTGTTGAAGCGCATGCGACAAAAAGTGGTAGAAAACGAGTAATACGAACGATATGATACAGTCATGACATCTGCTCGCTTTATCTTAAACCATGGCACCGCGCCAAATCATCCTGTCTGACACGCCCAACCGTCCGCAGCGCACTACACTAGAAAGTTATTCGATCTGATTCTTTTGATTACTAGAATGGACTGGAAACGGTGCTCGAGAATAGCTTGACCTCTTAAAGACACATAGTACGCTCACACACATTGAAGGTGTATGAGACTACCAGCCCCCCCCCCTACCGCTGTGTAGGGGTCCCCCCGCCCCAACATCCCCCCGA